ATTCTTGAAGAAATTGTCGTGTTCTTGAGCGTTTACTAGTTCACTCATATCTACTCTTTGTGAGAGTTTTATTCCTGAGTGTTTAAGTGTTTTTATACACTTTAAGGGAGGTTGTTCCCTTGTTGTAAACTCGAAGGAAGTTCTTTGTTCCTTCGTGAGAAGTCTTGGAGTGCGGTATCTCCAAGCAAAGGTGTTGAGGCTCGTGTGACTCGAGTTCTCAAGTTGTATCAGTTTGTTAAGCACCCTTAAGCTTAACGGAGTTAGTGTAGCTCGAGAGAGTCTCTCGGGAGGCTGGATTAGCCACACGTTGTGGTGAACCAGGATAAAATTCGGTGTGCTCCTTCCTTACGCTCTTTACTTTTACGCCCTCGTTTTTAATTTCCTGCGATTTTGTTTTAAACGCTATTCACCCCCCCTCTAGCGTTGGGCCTTTATTCTAACAATTGGTATCAGAGCCTTACTCTCTATAAGACTTAACCGTTTGAGAGAAACGATCAATGGCTTCAACTCAAAGTTCATACGCAGGTTTAGGTGAAGGGCAATCCACCACAAGGCCTCCGTTGTTTGACGGAACGAACTACACCTATTGGAAGGAGCGGATGAGGATTTACATCCAATCCACCAACTTTCTCCTTTGGAGAATTATCAAGAATGGTGAAGACGTGCCAATGAAGAAGGTCAGGGAAACCAACGTTCCTAAGACCGAGAATGAGTATGATGCACAAGACATCAAGAAAGTGGAAAACAATGCCAAGGCCATCAATATCATCTATTGTGCCGTAAACCCGGATGACTACCGGAAGAACTCTTGTTGCACCACCGCGAAGGAAATGTGGGACAAACTAGAAATCACCTACGAAGGTACGGATCAAGTCCGAGAAGCTAAAATTGATTTTCTAACCCATGAATATGAATTGTTTCGTATGAAGGAGAATGAGAAAATCGATGAGATGTTTGAACGATTCTCCAAAATTGTCAATGATCTCCATGCTCTCAAGAAGACGTACACGGACAAGGAGCTTGTGAGAAAAATCCTGCGAAGTCTCACACTGGAGTGGCGGTCCAAAGCCGATGCCATCCAAGAGTCCATTGGTATCACCAATGTCACCATTGACGGGCTTAGAGGTAACCTCAAAACCTATGAGTCTACCATTTTATTCCCCTCTTTAGGTGAACAAAAGAAGAAGGGGATTGCACTCAAGGCTTCCTCAAGCCAAGAACCCGCCATGGAGGAATCAAGCGATGAAGACAACGAGTTCGGGCTCGTCATCAAGAAATTCCACAAGTTCATGCGCGAGTATGAACGAAAGGGTAAAAAGCATGGAGGACCACCCAAGTGCTATGGGTGTGGAGAAGTTGGGCATATCAAGCCAAAATGCCCAAATGCCAAAAACGAGAAGGAGAAGAAATCGTTCAAGAAGCACCGAGCTTACATCTCGTGGGGAGGTGATTCCGGCGACGAATCATCGGAAGGTGAAGAAAATGAAAGCGCCAACCTTTGCCTCATGGCACACGAGGAACCACCGGAAGAGGTATGTGCCACTTTTAAAGATTCCCATACTTTAGATGATGTACAAGAAGCTTTTAATGAACTCTATGATGAATATATCAATGCTTCTAAAATTAACAAGGATTTAAAGAAACAACTTACTTCCATAGAGAAGGAGGTTGATAAATTATCAAAAGATAATGAAAAACTTAAAGAAGAAAATAAGTTTTTCGGAAAAAGAAGCGCCGACAAACCGGAGAGTTCAAAATGTAGTTCTTGTACATCA